GCGGCGGCGGCCGGGTCCCGGCGCGCGCGGGGAGCAGCAAGCCCTGGAGCGCGAGCGAGAGGAAGAGCCGCCGCCTCCCGCCGCCGCCGCGGGGACTGCTGCCGGGGGGAACGCTTAAGGAAGCTGCTTCTTGTCCTCCTCCGCCGCCGCCGCCGCCGCCAGCATCGCCGCCGCCTCCTCGAGCCGCTGCTGTGCCCTCCCTCCCTGGGAGACGCGCGGGGAGGTGGAAGGCAGGCGCGGAGGGGAGAAAGGAGGGAGGGGGAGGGGGCGGGGGGGGCGGCGGCCAGAAGTAAAAGGAAGGTGGGGAGGAGGGGGGGACCGGGGAGGAGGGGGGGACCGGGGAGGAGAAGGCGAGCGCTCGGGGAACGCGGGCCGACAACCAGCAGCCTGCGCCGAGCACAGAGAGGGCGCCCGGGCCCCCAGCAGGGCTGGCTCGGCCTGCCGGGGAGGGGGGCAGGCGCGAGGGCGCGGCATGTTCGTTCCGGCCGCTGCCAGGCCGCTCCGGGACCAGGCCCCGGCTCGCCGCGCTCCCCTCACCCGCCGCGCCGCGCCCGAGATCCAGGCAGAGTTGTCTGGAGCCAGACCCCGGCGTGTCCCCAGCAGCTGGCCGCGGGGCTCGGGGGCGGGGAGCGAGAGGCTCCTCGCGGCTGGCCATGGCCCTCTTCTCCCGCGGCCGCAGGGGCAGGCGGCCCGCGGAAAGGACTGGGCGGGCCCCGCCCCCTCAGGACCTGCCCTAGCCGGCCGGTCCGCCCGGGCGCTAGTCCAGTCCTACTCTCCCGTTTTCTCCGGCTCTCTCGGCCCAGCGTTCACATTGCGCTCCGCTTTATGTGCAGGACGAGCCGGGTTTCCCGGCGAGACCCGGCGCCGGCGCCTGGCTACCCGCTGGCGCGCGCGCTCTGCGTGCTCCCTGGCCCCGCGAGGGGCTGCGGAGACGCTGCCTCCAGGCGTGGCGTGGTCTGTGCGCGCTCCGGCGCCTGAGCCTAGGAGGCTGCTCTGGAGCAGCGCGGAAAAGCGCCGCAGTGCCGCAGCCGGTGGAGGAGGCGGCGGCGACAGAAGACGCCCACTGGTGGAGCAAGCGCTCCCCACGCCGCCACCCGCACCTTCACGGCGAGCCGTTGGGGTCTGGGCATGGCCGCACCAGGCCCCACACCTAGGCGGCCCTCTGCGCACATGTGTATCCACTCCGGACCCGCGAGCAGGCAGGGGCGCTGCTTCTTTTCTGCGGGTCTCCTCTGGTAAGGGTCCAGTGTTCTGCATTCTAAACCCGCAGCCCTGCAGCTGCTCCACCTAAGTGCTGTTGGGCGAGCCACACTGGCCTGTTGATCGCGTGGGCCGGAGAATCCTCCCTCTGGCGACCCAGCAGCCCAACCGAGCAGTTCTCAGCCAGAGCTCCCGAGAGAAGAGTTCAAACTCGAACATTTGGTAGGAGTTTAAATCAAGTTCAGAGTTTCCAGTAAACCTAAGGTTTGAGAGACTGTTCATTCCCAGGACTTCCTTTCCAGTAGTCAAGTTAAGACAAACTTCATGTAGACACGTCTAGTTTATCCCAATGGGGACACAGAGTGGAAACACCAAACTGTGGCTCAAATATGAAAAACTGTGAGATCATCACCCTAAAAACACTGTAGCAGCCTCCCCACTGGCGGCTTCCTAAGAGCCAGCTTGGCCCCCTTCGGTAGCCACAAACACACAGTTGCTGTTGAAGGGAACCGTGCTGCCCAATGGGCGCTCAGAAAAACAAGCCGCAGAAGTTTGGAGAAGTTTGGACAGCAAGAGCGCACGAAGCGAGGTGGCTGAGTTTCTCAGGTGCGTGCCGCGGCGAACCTGTGCTTAAAGGCTCCCAGCTGGGGGCAGTAACCCCATTCCTCCTCGGTGGGACCATTCAGACTCTCTGGACTAAATCACTTTCTAGGAAAGGCAGCACACGCGCCACAGCCCAACTTTTGCGGAGAGCAAAACGCGCGGCGCACAGCGGTTCAGCGGCTGTGCTGAACAGTGTTGTGTCCACTTTGTGTACGTCTCACCGACTAGGGTTCTGGGTGAGTGCCCGGGCCCCTCTCGTTCTCCACAATTTTTTCCTCCCTATCCAATTTCACGGGTTTTTATTTTGCAGTGTAGTCGAGATTCTTCCCTGTCAGTGCTTTTCACAACTCCCATCAAACCCCTTCTCCCTCGAGTTGGGAAGGGCAGGTTTGCATTTGCACCAAACTGAGCAGGTGGGACTCCAGGACTCCAGGGAGATGATGCCTCTCTTCGACCCCCAAAACTCCTCGGATTCCTCAGCATTTCTCCGAAAGACTAGATATCATGTAACAGACGCCAGTAGAGACCTTCATTTAAGTCGGAAACAAAAAAATTTTCCAGAGACTCTTACCTTAGAAGCGAGGCGGGGTGAAGGGGGACTGCATGTGCGTTCCCCAGCCCCGCGAAGCAAAAACTGGACTGAGGAGCAACGCCGCTGGTCTCCCGCCAGTCACAGCCTTCCTTTCGATAGCAGCTCCTGCAGTCGCCCAGCGCGACACTTGTTACTTCTCTGAGAACGCAGTTTGCTTACGCTTCTGGCAGGACGGGCTCTCGCGCATTAGGGGAGATGAATTTCCGCTCGGAGTGTTTATCATTTATTCCTTTGTGCTTATAATTGTTCTCTTTGCTGTTTATGATTTGTCAAATGTATTTTTAAAAGTCAATACATCGATTTTCCAGTTACAAGAAAATTTGCACTTAACTCAAATGTTGAGTCACTTTTCAGGTACATGTGGGGAAGGTGGAGACCATCAAATATTTGTTTTGGGAGTCTTGTTTAAATCAGGATGCAAACTCTAGAACTCTCATAGACTCTTTCCCAGAATTTCTTTTGATTTTTCATCCTTCTTTTTTGATTGCTTGCTGAAGGGGACAATTTCCTGGAGAAATGAAAAATCGCAAAGCAAGACAACGGAAAGGAACTACATGAGTGGTTGGCTGATCAGCAATTAAATTTTAATCGTTCTCCTGACTGAATACTAATGCCCATATTTCTTCACATGAGTTTCACAGGCACACGGGCACTTAAGCATTCTTCAGGAACCATTGTTTAGTTGAAGATTTAAATTACAAACACAGGAAGATTTGTCACTCACTGTGCACAGGCATTCCCACACCTGTAGAATGTTTCTTTCTAATTCTTTTCATCCCTTTGAGTTTCTCTAGTGATGTCTCAGAAAAAGAAGTCTATCACTAAACATTATTTTCTCCAAATCTTTTATGAACAAGCACACTGGCCCATAATTGAGTAACAGTGCATTAAGTTGACAATACTGTAAAGTATTTAAATGTCATCACATAGCAGAACAATGGTTAGCAGGAGCACAAAACCGGAGAAATCGGCTGGGTTGAAATATTCTCAGGAAAGTGAAGCGTTTCTTTCATCCCAGGATGAGAAAATGCCGGCCTAAACTGTAGGAAATAAAAACTAACAGAATATTAATGCCAGCAAGGATGTCAAAATTCTAATAACCTTATTCCTACCTTCAAAGAACAAAAGGCATTTGTGTATACTCTTTACCAAAAAAAAATTATCAAGACAGTTTTATATTAATAGTGAAGCCTTACCTGAGTGGACCTATGTGGCCATGAGTACACTAAGGTTTCCCAGCCATTCATAAATTATTTTTAATTATTTCTGTACTACTTGTAGTATTTTATGCCTAAAATTTTATTTCGGCTGGAAAAATACCTTCCTGCCTACTTGTTATCAAATTTGCATTATATACTTTTAAAAAATAGGTCAGGATAGAGCCTAATAAATTTTTAAAAGATTATTTTTCCTCAAAACATTGCAACTCTTCTTTAACCACATACCACTTTTCCTAACTTAAGGGTTAGATTCATAGCTAACATGGTTAATATTTCATGAACTTTTTGGTAAACATAATATAAGGTCTGTTTCTTAACTTTATTTTGCAATTTCACTGTTACCTTTTAAAACTGTAAAGTTCACAGCACTGGCTTTCTTCTTTTCTTTCTTTTTTTTTTTTTTTTTTTTTTTTTAATTTTTGAGACAGGGTCTTGCTATGCTGCTCAGGTTGTCCTTGAGCTTACTTTTGTAGCTCAGGATGGTCTGCTCAGACTCAAAACAACCCTCCTTCCTCAGTCTCCCAAATGCTAGGATTACAAGTGAGCATCACATACCTGGCCACCACTGGTTCTTAAGAAATGTGCTTTCTCTTAAAATATTAATGATTTTCATTAATATGGAAAAACAAAGTTTAATTATATGTGAAACTCACCTACTTAAACAGATAAGGACTATTAAAAGATACTTTTTCTTTAAGTTGATTTTAATTTTTGTAACTTACTAAAAATGTATAGTAATGCACTTCATAAGCCACTGGATATTGTTCCTAAATCAGACTTCTGAATTCAAATCTTATTTATTCATTTGGTACAGGGTATCTCTATACAGCTCAGATTCATAGTGATCCTTCTATCTCAGCCTCCTCAACACTGGGATTTCAGGCATCCACCACCACCCCCAGTTTTCAGTGGCTGGATCGGTATGCCCAGGGTTCTGGGGCCTGCAAGGTATGTGGTACCAGGGATCGAACCCTGGCCCTTGCACTTGCTGGGCAAATACTTAGACCACCAAGCCATCTACCTAGCCCAGACTTCTGAATTTATTATCTAGTAAATTATCTTTTCTTTTCTTCTTTTTTTTTCTTTTTTTTTTTTTTTGCGGTACCTGGGACTGAACTCAGAACCTTGCGCTCACCAGGCAAGAACTTATTCTACTGAGCTATCTTCCTGGCCCTTCTAGTAAATTATCAACATGTGTGTCCTGCAGGTGCTCTATGCACAAACTGCACTCTAAGAAG